AATAGCATTTATTTTTTATGAAGGAAACTGAATAAAAAAAAAAAAAAATTACTTTGGTTTTGTTCAGTATATAAAAATAATAAGAAATACATAAAGAAAATAAATAAAAATTAAAATATTAAATTCATTTTTTAGTTTTGTTTTTTTTATTACATTTCCTAATTGCTTCTTAAAATATAAAGGAAATTTTTGCACAAACTCATAAGATAAAAAAAAAAAAAATAAATAAAGTTAAAATTTTTTTTTAATTTTCCATTTATTTTCAGTCATTTTCAAATATTTTCCTTAAAACATATATTAAAGAAAAATAAATAATAATAAATAATAATAAATTTATATATATATAAAAAATTAAGACTGTTCAAAATTTAGTGCTAGAAAAATGCATTTTAAATTAAAAAAAAAAAAAAAAAACTTGTTATTTGTTAACTCATTTTTTTCGTTTAGTTTATTTTCGTAAGCATCTCTGCAAAAACTCTTATAATCTAAACAAATTATGTCATTAAATGAAAATATTAGGAAAATAAATTCAATTTAAACTTAAAATTTGTTAGAATTAATTTATTTTTGTTAAAAATGAAAAATCCACATATTACTGTGAAATATAATTTAAAAAAAAATGTAATAAATTTATTTTCTAAAATAACAAAAAAAAAATAAAAAAAAAAATAAAACAAAATTTTAAACAAATATAAGTATAGAATAAATATAAAATACGTTTTTTTTTTTTTTTTTTCTCTTATAATTAGAAGAAATTAAAATATGATAAAAAGTGTAAAATAAAAATTAAAAGATAAAATAAATACAAAAGAATAAAAAAATAAAATATTATTCCTTACACTTTAATAAAAAATACCATATTAAATCAGCATATCTGTAATAACTTTTGTCTTATCAATGTAGATTAACATATAGAAACTCATTTAGAAGAATACAACACTCTTTTAGTTTATGATCAAATTTTTTTTTTTTTCCTTTTTATATTCTTTTTAATTCTTAATAAAAAACTAAAATATAAAATTTTGTTTTATAGTCATATGTGAAAAATAAATTTATTGTAACTATTATATTTAAATGAAAAAGTGTGATCATCATTAACTACAAAAAATATTTTTCTCAATATTTTAAAAATGCATACAAAAAAAAAAAAAAAAAATACTTATTTCAACAAATAAAAGTATATTTTTTTTTTTTTTTTTTTAACAAATACATATTTAATGAATAATATTTTTCATTTATTACTTCCTTTTTTTTCTTTTTAAACCAAAAATAACAAATCTATAAATTAGACAATTTCAGATCATGTATAAAATTAATGTTAATATAGTAAAACAACAAGGTAGATAAAAGAAATATTATAAAAAAAAAAAAAAAGTAAAAATTTTTCTAAATTAATTTTAATATATATATGACTATTAAAATTAAAAAATAAAACATAGAAATAATAACATGATACTAGTAAAGGAAAAAAGGTTCTAAAACTAAATAACATAATATATTTATATTATTCTATAATATATTATCATTAAAAAAAAATTTTTTAAATATTCTTATAATTTTATTTACAATTTCAATTATATATAATCGTGAAATTCTCTAAAAAAAAAAAAAAAAATACATTATTTTCTAAAATATTGGTCTGTCTAATTTTTTATAAAAGATATACAGAAAAAAAAAATTCATAATATGAAAAAAATTAAAAATTATAAAAAAAAAAAAAAAAGATAAGAAAAAAAAGAAAGAAAAAATTTAATATTATAAACTAGGAATATGTATTGTTTTTTTTTTTTTGGTAATGTATAAAAATAGAAAAAACATTTCTTTAAAAACTAAATCAAGTTAAAAAGAAAAGTAATACAAATAGTATAAATTTATTTTCTTTTTTTATCTAAAATGAATAATGAAATTATTTTAAACGAAAAATTAGAAGAACTAAAAAATTTGATATATGTTGATGAGACACCTTTTAAACATCTAGATTTTGTGGTTTTTTTTTAAAAAAAAAAAAAAAAAAAAAAGTAATTCTTGTAAAAAATAAATAAACATTTTTTTAATAAAAATTTTTAGAAAGTACCATGTGTTCCTTGCTGTGTTTTACCTGGTCTATCTTTCCTGAGTGCAAGAGCTATGGAAGAATATAAAAACGGATATAGAAAAGACGAAGTCAAATATTTTTATTTGTTTTGTTTTTAATAATACAAAATATTATATTTTCATTTATGATATATATATATATTTATATATATTTTTGTTGAAGATAAATGAAAATGATGAGATATACATTGAATATTTTTATGCAAAAAGATTACATAAAAATAATTTAGTAAAAATAAGATTTCCCGAATACTATGAAATGGCAGGAGCACTTTTATCCGATGCGACTGCAGCAGCTGTTGGAAATTTGAGTCATCTTTACTTTGAATTAGGAAATGAATTATGTGAAATGTTAAACATAAAAAATTTATTCATAAAAATTTGAGTTAAAGAAAAATTTTTTAAATAATCAGAATATTTTTAAAAATGAGCTATAAATTATAACTAATATTAATAATATTTAAAATATTTATAAATAAATCTTAGATAAATTTTTAGAATATTGTTACAATTATTATTTTATCAGTCTTTTTTTTTTTTTATTCTAGTCTTTATTTTTTATTTTATTATAGATTACCAGAAAACGAATGGCCTGTTGAAAAATTAGAAGATTTATTATTAATAGCAGAGATTAGAAGAAGACTTTATTTAATCAAGCATAATGATCAAGTGGATCAAACATATTTAGAAGGAATGACATATATGGAAAGGAAAAGTACATATAATAAATTATATATTCTTTAAATTTTTCTTATTTTTTCTTTTTATTTTAATATTTTTTTTTTTTTTTTTTTTTTTTTTCCCCCCCCCCTCATATTAAGTGTTTAATTCATTCTCAATGGGAACAGATTTAGAAAAAGAAAAAGCTTCATCAAATAGAGATATTTTTAATTTCTTTGAACTTGACTTATAATCCATTTTTTATCTATAATAAATCTTTTTTTAAATCTATTTATTTTTTATTTAAATTTTTTTTCATAATATTTCTTTTATACAAATTACACCTACATTTTGAATTTTCATAAATTTTAATTGAAATAAGGATTTTTAAATTTTTATTAACTAATGTAATATTTAAGGAAATTTTATGGAAAATTATTTGTTTTTATATATTTAAATAATTGTTCATCCATTAAGGAAAAAAAAAAAAAAAAAAAAAAAAAAAAATAATTTTAATATTAAAATTTAAAATGCATTTGACAAATTTATATAATAATAAAAATTATATATATATCATCTAAATTTTAAAAAAGGGTGCAATTTAAAATAAAATATTCCTTTTAATTTTTAAGCATTAAAGAATCATTAGGTTTAATATGGAATTCTACAGGTAAACCATAACGAACATAAAAATCTTCCTCATTTGGTATCTTTTCTAAAAGTAATTCTAAAAATTTAAAAAAAAAAGAAAATTAAAATAAAATTTTTTTTTTTTTGGATATAATGCAATAATATATAAAATATTAATAATATAGGAGGATACTCTACGTAAGTTTTTAATGCACTTTTTAAATTTTTTTTTTTTTCATTAATTAACAAGTATTACCTTGATCATTACATGTATACAGTAAGCATACAAAAAGCATATGAATAGACATGCTATTAACTTCTGAATCATTCAATTTAAATTTTGTCTGAATAAAAAAATATAATATACATATAATATACATATATATATATATATATATATATATATATATATATATATATATATATATATATATATATATATATATATATATATAAATTCTTATAAATTATATATTTAATATCTTAATAAAACTACCTCTTTAATAATGTTTGTAAAAGTTGTAGTTTTTTCTTCATTGTAAACAACAATCTACAAGAAAAAAAAAAAAAATAATTCATATAATTTTTCCTCCATATATATTTATATTTTTTTTTTTTTATTATTTTATACTTTATCATTTTTTTCTTCTTTTTGTTCTAAATTATTGGTATTTTCTTGTTCATTTGGTTTAACAATATCACATAAAATTTGTTTGATTTTTGAAACATCTACAAATTTTGATATATTTTCAATATTCATATTTCCTAAACTATTAGCATGGGAAAAACTTTGATTAAATTGAATAATAGATGTATCATTAATTTGTGTATTTTGTTTTTCTTGATTATTTTCATTATCGTTTTCATTTTGCCATATATCCTCAAAATCCATATTATAAAATTTATCAATAGCATCATTTAATCCTTCTTGTATTTGACTTTCTTGTATTTCCTCAATATTTTCAGCATATAAACTTTGCATATTTTTAGATTCTGTAAAATTTATTTGATCAATATCATTTGTTATAAAATCATTATTAATCTCATTTAATACAATATTTAATTTAATATCAGTATTATCTTCATCTGAAGCAATAACAGGTAATTTAGAAAATTTCATTATTTTATCAGTCACTGTATTTACACAATTAATGCAATTATCTTTTGTTTCAAAAATATAAGAAGTTTGATCAACAGAAAAAAGAACATTAGATATATACTTTTTTTTTTCTTTCTTCCATAAATCATAGGTTGATAGTTCTATATCATTAATTTCAATGTGAAGATTTTCAAAATCAATACTTGAAATATTAAAAGAGGTTTTAACTCTCTTATGCGGAATTCCATTAACTAAAACAGTTTTATTTTTATATGTGTTTTTTGTAATATCCATTAGATTTCTAAAGTTACCATTAACCATTATTTTACTAGGTATATAATATTGATAATTAAACTGATTATTTACATCAATTGCATTTAATCTATTTTCAAAAGTCATAATACTACGATTCCATAACGTATCTTCGTCAGGAATAGATGATATCATACTTTTTTTAGTTGGTGTTCCACTTTGTTGATGTTTAAATAAAACATTCTGAGAATTCAAATTAAAGTTATTTAATGTATTCATATTCATAATACTAAAATCTCTATTTTCACTCTTCATCATTTCTGGTAAAATTCCATTTAAGTTACTACTTTGATGAAAAGATAACATACTTTGAGAAAAATTTAAATTGTTTGATACGGAATTATTTAAATTTATATTATCAAAAGCCATTGATTCTTGCATTACATTTTCAATATTTAAATCTTCTATTTTATATTCTTGATTATTAAAATTATTATTGCTACTACTCAAAATCTTATTATCTTCCATATTGTTATTATTATCATCACATAAATTATCCATTGTCATATTATTACTTAAACTATTTTTAAAATTTTCTCCATAATCTTCAACCATTTTCATATTAATTTTTTTTTCATCTTCTTCTTCTTCTTCTTCTTCATTTTCATTATTATTACCTTCATCTCCTTCCCCTTCTTCATTTTCTTCTCCTTTTGAATCTAATTTTTTTAATTTATGTTTGTTTATTTCTTCTTTAAAATATTCTAATTCTGGGCATATGCTTAAATTGTTAAAATCTTCCCCATTGTTTAAAAGAATATCTCTTATTTTATTTGTATTCAAATATAATTTTTTTTTATAATGTTTCATCAATAAATTATCATTATTATCATGTATATTTTCTTCTGCATCTGTGGATAAGATGTTTTCTTTTTCTTCTTTATTATCATTCAAAACTTCTGAATTTATTTCTTCTATTTTTTTTCTTTTCTTATATTCACAGGCATCTATATCACCATCAAATTGTATCGATAAATCATTATTTAAAATTAAATTTGGTAATAAATAACTTTGACCTGAAGAATGATCATATAAACTATTTAATTTTAAAAAAAAAGTATCTACAGATATATTTGATAAAGATAAAGAATCAATAGTAATATCAGATGACTTAGCTAAGGTAGAAGATTCTTGAAGAAATTCTAATTTTCTTTTTTTCATTTTTTTTGTTGAATTTTCACTAACATTCTTTTTTTCATCTTGTAATTCTTCATTTATTTCATTTTGTTTTGCTATGTTCATATTAGATAAAAAATTATATGTCTGATCATATATTGCCTCAACTCTATAACCATAAACCTTGGTAGCACCTTCAATAGCTTTTGATGCTCTTGTAAAAGATAAATTAAAATCTCCATTTTCTAATAGTTCATCATTTAATTCATCACTAATTTCTTCATCATTTAAATTTACTAAATCTTCTAAATGATCAATTATTCTTATATCAAAAGCATTTCTAGTGCATATCTTATTGTGAGATAAAGCTACCATACAATTTTTAAAAACATCATTTATTTCTTTTACTTTTGTTTTATCAAACTTATTTAACTGTTCATTTTTACTTTCATTACTTTTATTATTTAAAAATGACAATCTTCTTATATTTTTGTTTATTTCTATTGGTTTTTTTAGAATGGTTTCATTTTCTTTAAGACGATTTAAATTAGTGTCTAGATTGGAACTAATTCCTAATTTTTTCATTTTTATCTTAATATGAATATATACTTAATTTTTAAATCATATTATATGAATAAAATTATGCAAAAATATTTGAATGTTTATAAGGTATTTATATAATCATTATAATTGATCATACTTAATATAATTACATATTCAATTAAGAAAATTTTATAAGTTATACTAAAAATATATTTTTTTTAAAAACAAAAACTTCTTTATGTTACAAAAATATTTACAATAGGAATTTGCTTGTATATTTTATATAAAATTTAATTTATTTAAATTATAATAATTTCTCTGTAATTTTTTTTTTTAAAATATTAAATTTATTGTAATTTTCCTTATTCTTGAAAAAATAGTCTCCATGTATATTACAAAATATAAATGCATTTACATAATTTTTTATTTATTATTATTATCTCCTCTTTTATGCATTTTTTTTTTTTTATATTTTCAAAAATTTTATTTTTTTATACAAATAATATATATATTTATATAAATATATATATATAAATATATATATATATTAATTTTAGTATTTTTTAAAAAATAATCTGTACACACGCTAAAAGAATATGTATTTATATATATATATATTTTTTTAGACGAAAAATATAGTAGATAATATGTATATATTTTAAATTCAATTTAATGTTTATAAATTTTTTAAATATATGTCAAAATTATAAAATATTTAAAGCTAAAATAAAGTGTAAATATATAAATATATGTTCATATTATTTTATTAACAAAAAAAAAAAAAAAAAAAATTTTTACATTTTTCAATTTACATTTTTTTATTTTTTTAAATTAACAAAATTTCACATAATTATTATTCAATTTAAATAGTAATAAAAACATAAAAGAAAAAAGGTAAGAAAAAAATTAATTTTCTTTTTCCATTTTAAAAACTTTGAGAATTTTTTTAAAAAAATTTTCTTATATACACATAATAAAATAGAAAATTGAATTAATATTTTCTTTAATTATTTATTATAAGATAAAAACAAAACAAAATACTATAAATACTTTATATTTTCATCTCTCACATATATTCTTTTATTTCATTAAATTATATATATATATAAGAGAATACTACTTAAAAAAAATTATAATAAAATATATTTAAATTTATTATATTTTCATTTTTCGTATTTCTAATATATATATTATTATGGGAATAACCTATATATTTATTCATATATTTATGATATAAATGTATTTTGAAAAATAATATTCCTTTTTTTCTTTCAAATTTTTATGTAATTTTTTAAAAAAGGAATAATTTTTTAAATATTTAGACATTTTGAGTTTTTTTATGAATATTCACTTATTTTAAATTAGCTTTATTTTAAAAATTTTATATATTTTAATCATCGTATTAAGTTATAAATATTGTTGAAACAAACATAAAAACACTTGTATTTTTATATGTATTTAATATATATATATGAAGGTGTACATGTGAGAGAACCACTTTAAAAAGGTAAAAAAAAAATAAAAGTTATTTGGATAAATATTTATAATTAAAAAAAAAAAAAAAAAAAAAAAATTAAATTTTCCATATAATACAAATAAATTTAAAGAAAAAAAAAAAATAAAAAAATAAAGACAAATCATATAAAGGTAAAATTGTCTTTGGAAATGGGTATGATGATTATTTACCTTTAATTTATTATAAAAAGATTTATGATAAAAAATTAAAAGTATACTTCATATCTTTTAAATATTACATATTCAATAATAATATTTATAATTTTTTTTTTTCTTTTTTTTTTTTTTTTTTTGTTCTGTTAGTTTATATTAATTTTATTAATTTTATTAATTTATTATAAATCTAAGTACAATTTATTGACATATATATATTAGATATTATATAAAATGTTATATATATGTCTAATATTTAGTCACTTTCACTTTCTTCATTAAAATCATCATTTTTATTTTTATTTGATGTAAATTGGCTTTCATAAAAATCAATTATTTGTTGCGTTGTCGTAGCTTGCTCAGCACTTTTATCCTCTCTTAATCTCAAAAATCTTGGGAATCTTAGACCAATTCCTTTATCATCTGAATATACTCCAATAGCTGCAGTATGTACTGGTGATAAGGACAAATCAGCAGCTTTGATTTCCCATACATAATGTGCATCAAACCATACATCCGGATTTAGCTTATCGGAAACTTCATAATATGACTTTTTATTAGGTATTATTTTTTCATTTAATAAATTAAATAAAGTACTTAATATTTCATCGCTAAATCCTGTTCCTGCCTTACATACAGTTTGAAAATTTTCTGTTTCTGAATTATAAGTAGCTAAAACAAATGCACCATATACACCACTCCTTTTTCCTTTACCATAATAACCAGCTATCGGAACTAGATCAACTGAGTCCGATAATCCTTCTATATAATCTTTTTTTACTTTTAACCAATTTAAAGATCTTTTTGATGGCTCATAAGATGCATTTTCAAGTAATGTTTTAACCATTAGACCTTCACAATTATTTTCAATCGCATCTTGCAAAAATATATCGATATCTTCAATATTATTCATTTCAGAATGAGTTGCATAAGATAAAACTCCTTCTTTAGATTTTAGTAAAGAATACAAAAGTTTTCTTCTAATTTCCAAAGGTTCTTTTATTACAGAAACACCATTACAGCAAATTAAATCAAATGGAAAAAGACAAATTTTTACTTTAATATTTTCAATATCTACGTCTTTTCTTTTTCTTGTCGTTAATACTTGAAAAGGTAAAATCTTTTTATTTTCAGTATCAAATGCAACAACTTCACTATCAATTATACATTCTGTTGCAGAACTTACAATTTGATCTTTGACTATTTGAATAACATCAGGATATTTTTCAGTCATATTTTCTAAGTTTCTACTAAATATTTTTATATTATCTTTATCTATGTAATGAATTTGTGCTCTTTCTCCATCATATTTATATTCACATGTAAATGTTACATTACTAAATCTATCTAAAACTTCTTGTATTCCTTTTGTTGGTTTTGCTAACATAGGTTGAACAGGAATTCCTGTTTTAACGGTGCATTTTTTACTTAATGTTCTCATATCATCTCCATTTAATAAATTCTGAATAATAATCTCAATATTTGGTAATTCACACAAAGCACTTTTTACAGATCTCTCCATACATTCAAATATATCTATATCATTATTTTCGCAATAAGCTTTTTTTAATTCTTTAAATACTGGTAATAGACGAGTATCTCCTTCTTTTCCTATGTTTAAAAATAAATTAGGCTTATCAATTTTTTCATTCCTTATTTTAATAGAATTAATTAGAGAATTAAAATCAAATACTTCATCAGAATTTTCTTTTTCTATTTTTATATTTTCTAAATTTTCTTTTTTTTCATCATCCTTTTCTTCTTTAATGTTATTTTTTTCCAAACCATTTTCTATTTTAGTTGTAGTGTCATTATTACTTTTTGTCTGAGATTTCATTATATCTTCGTTCACCATTTTCCCCTTTGCTATAATATCTTCAGGTATATAAGGACGAGTTAAAATAAAAGCATATGATAACGCTTGCAATACAGAAGCACTATTTACTCCTATTCTTAAACGTTGTTGTAAAAATCTAACAATATATTTAGCTTCACTATTTTTTGCACTAACTAATAATTTTTTTATTACTTCTCTTTTTTTCTGTTGAGAATTAGACCCACTAAGATTTGGTATACATTTCAATTCATTAAATACAGACTGAATAGTTAAACGAGGTAAAGGAAATATAGTTCTCATTTTGCAAGAACATTTTTCTGCTATTATTCCTAAATCCTCAATTTGTTGTAGATCCTTTTTTATACTTGATTCGGTTCTACTATATGCTTCTGACATAGTTTTTAAAATTAACGCCTCTCCAACACCAGCCTCAACATTTAAGTAATCAGGTGCTACCTTATTTAAAGTTATATATATAGCAGGTATTAAATCATTAGGGCTATAATATATTAGAACCCTAAATACATTTGATAAAATAATTGATACATTTTTTTTACTACCTGTTCCACTACCTTTTAATTCTTCTATTTTATTAAAAGTATTTGTTAAAAAGGTAAATAATAAAGAATCTTTAAATTTATGTTTTGCTTTGTCTTTTTCAGATAAATATAAATTACTTATGTCAAAATAAGCAGGATTAAATTTAGGAGAAGTTAAATCACATATTTTTTCATCTTCATTTACAATACAATTAAATAAAGATCCTTTTTTAATTTCATTTTCATTTTTTCCTTTTATTTTTTTTGTTTTTATATTTGTATCATTTTCAATTTTTCTTTTTGACGTTTCTTTTTCTACAATATTTGTTCCTATTTCATCTTCTAGTTTCTCATTTTTTTCATCATTATTTGATTTCTTTGGGATGGATAAACATTTTCTATAAAAAAAATACAAACATTTTATATATAATACTTCCATATAGATATATTGTATTATGAAAATATTATACATATATATATATATATATATTACATTATATATATGATTTAAATAATGTTATATTTACATTCGTTTTTTTTTTTTTTTTATCTTATGTATCTATATGTTTTAATATATTATTTAATATGTATATATTAAAATCTATATATATATATATTTTTTTTTTTTTTAACTTAAAATGTAAATAAAACATATCATTATGTCTATTTGTCAAGTTTTTTGTAAAATTCTTAAAAAATTTTACATTAAAACTAATTTTATGATTATATAACTTTTTCTTTTTAATTATTGGAAATATATAATTATATTCTGTTCTCATATAACTTTTTATTTTACAATAAACCATTTCGGTTAAAAACAGTAATATTGATAGTTTCATATTATTACTATTATTCTAGATATAGACATATTTATGATTCAATATAAATGCATATTAAGTACATTTAACTAATACCTCGAACAAAAATAAAGCAAATTCATATATATATATATATATATAATTATTTACTACATAACCATTTATACAAATAAAATGTTGTTTTATATTTATTTTTTTTTTTTTTATATTCTTTTATTTTTTACTTTTTTGTTTTACATTTTTTTTTTTATTATTTAATTTTTTTTTTTTTTTTTTTTTTTTTTAAA